CATGTGTTACGTAGCTTATTTTAATATCATAAAACCTTTTATTTAATTAATATATTAAATGTCTGTTGTGTGTTGTTTTGATTTTAAACGGATTAGATTTATTTCCTGTATGTGTGTAGATATGTTGGGTTATGTCAGTCCGAAAAAGGAAGAGGAGGAGGAGCTGAGCTCTCCGCCAGTCAGGATCATCCCTATCCCAGTCCAACCAGTGACCACCTCCAACCCATTGAAGGTAACACAAGCTTCATTCAATGATGTAAATAATCATTTCAGTGAATGTCAGTTCTGTGACTGATCCCCTGTGGGTTTTAAAATGTATTAATTTTAGCTGCCAACACCGCATTAACACTCCTGATATTTTCAGCCTGCAGCTTCTACTATGGGCTTCACGGTTAATGGCCGACTAATCCCCTTCCAGACWTCAGGTCAGCTGGTTCTTTATGCTCTGTTCAGTGTTTTCACAAGAATCAAAAGCTGTGCTCAACAAACACAATAACAGTTTGAGACTTCTCAGTATTTTCTGTTTGACAGTAAAAGTTAATAGCTTGTAATTAAGTTTCAGAAATAAGGGTTTGTTGTGTTTACCATGAGATAAAGCTGTGTCACAAGTTTATGAATACTGCAGCAACTAAAGGGTTTCTGTGTCTGTCCTGCAGGTGGAAAGACAGAGTTGAGGCTTCGCATCTATCCTAGAGGTTCAGCCAGTGGCTTCACTACAATCCAGATGCCTGTCACACTAACCATCCACAATCCTCTATTTACCCGCTTTGTGACCAACAAAGCCTCTCCCGCCGCTAGTGTCACCTCGCCATCAGCCACGACGACGCCTCTTTCTGAACGTGCCCCTCCACCTGAACCCAAGTCAGAGCCCGTCCCCATCATCACAGGTACCGGCTACAATCATCTTCAGCTTAGAAACCTTTAGCTCGTCTTTTAAACTAAGCCAGAATCTCTTTCTGATTCAGGCGTAGTTTCGGGGGAAGCAGCCCAAAAGGTTCTTAACGATCACAATGTGGGCTTCAATTCGATTCCTTCTGTGAAATCACGGGGAACTCCTCCCTCAGCTGAAGCCTCTACTTCAAAACCCAAGAAGCAGTCAAAACCCCGTACAAGTAACAAACCGACAGCACCTGAAAAACTACGAAAAGGTAATCGATGCAGAGATCCAGCTTTGTGACACTATTTAATTACCTCTGATTGTTCAGTGCAGGGGCTGTTGGCAGGGTTAGATCTTAGCTACATTTTAGGCTCAACTTAAAATCAAGGTGTGTCTTTGTTGTATTTCTCCCCTCAGGTGAAGTCGGACCTGTCG